TAAGAACACCGCCGTCTTCCGATCTACTGATCTAGGGTTTCTCCCGGAGGTAGCAGACAGTGGCCTTGAACTTCTCCTTCGCAATGCCTTCAAGAAGGGAATATCAGACTGCTTCAGCCTACAAATCCTGAACAGCTGACTATAGCTAGACTTGAAAATGTTAAGTATGTACAAGAAGCACGGAGTATAGAACTGATAAAGAAACAGAAAATTAGAGAGCTCTCATTTGAATGGACTCTAGATTCTGGGAGGTTTATGGATGATGAGGAGGTTTAGGAAAAACTAGTGCCACCAAGTAGTGTACTGGAATTGACTATAACTGTGTACAGTAGTGTCAGCATTCCTGATTGGCTTATGGATATTAGGCAGTATATACCTAATCTTTCGGAGTTGTTTTTGCGGAATTTTCCTAAGTGCAACAAGCTACCACCACTCGGTCAATTACCAAACCTAAAATGTCTGGGTCTAAACGACATGGAGAGCTTGGGAGAGTGGAACACGACAGATACTAGTGGTGTGGAAGGTGCAAATGAGCTCATGTTCCCTAAGCTTAAAGAGTTGATCATACAGCACTGTGCCAAGTTGAGGATAGAGCCATGTCTGCCTAGAGCTATATTGGACTTGATAATAGGTTGTGATAATATACTATCATCATTGGGAGAGAGCTTGTCACACAGAGGTGCTTCCTCGCCTTCTCCAATTACTGATCTGGAAGTTATTGACAGCTGCACGGTGCCCTTGCATGAGTGGAGGTTGCTTCACCACCTCCCTGCCCTCCGTAACTTAACTATCACTATCTGTAGTGATCTGACTGCCTCAAGTGAGATTATCCAACGCCTGTCCTCCCTCAAATCACTCTGCCTCCAATCATTGTCACTCGACCAGGCAGAATTACTGCGTTGGTTGGTTAAGCCGTTAAGCTGACATCTCTGCAGGCACTACATCTGTCTATGTGTAGAGGCATGGCATCGCTTTGGCAGTGGCTAGGAAAACTTACCTCTCTCCAGAGATTTGAGATGAGTCACTGCAAGGAGATCAGGGCTTTGTCGGATAGCATGCAACAGCTGACCAAGCTTGAAAACCTAAGCATAACTGGCAGCCCTACATTACTGAAGTGGTGCAAATCAGAGGAGAAGAAGAAGCTTGGTCACATCAGAGGCGTACAGGTATTTGCCAGCCAAGATATCCTTGTGTATTGTTTTTATTCTCGCACTGTCTAGTGTTTATATTTTGTTTTGTCTATTTCACGCCTCATGCATCTAGATATTTTTTTTATTTTTTTTGCGAAAGTCATGCATCTAGATTACTTTAGTAAAATACATGATGACTACACTAATTATTATTCAAATGATCTGTTGTTTTGAATATACTGTTTCTGTTGTTCAGCTCTTACCTTCTGGGTCAGACGGCTCAGACGAAGAAGACATGCCAGATGGCTCTTCTTTTTGTGGGGAAACATCAGACCACTCAGAGGAAGACCATGACGTAGATGAAGAAGACATAGCACAAGACATATCGGATGACTCTTCCTTGTACGAGGAAACACCAGAGGACTCAGATGAAGAAGACATTGCAGAGGCCTTTCAAAGACAGCCTAGATACTGCAGGCACATCAATGAGGAACAATAAACGTAAGAGGCCAATTGATCTTTGAGGAGACCATTGAATTGACCAACATGAAAAACCTGGGTCTGCATAGTGCTCTGCATCTTATTTAACCTGTAGCGTCAGGTGGTTAGTATATGTTGGTGTAGTGATACTAATCTGTATCTATTCACGTGTCTGTCTTATAGTACTAGTCATTTGCCAAGCATGTTCCCTAAGGTACCTTGAAAATTAATAATTAAACGTGGGCATTTAGTCTCTCCTTGGCTTCAATTGGCTGGCGTCTTTGATGTCGCCATTGATAGTCTCATCTATGAGTTCCTACAGTGACAGACATCAAAAGACGTCACTATCAGCTCCTATCAGATCTCAAGTCAAGCGTAGGTGGCACCACCAGCATACTTCAGCTGCATCAGGTGGTTAGCATATGAATATTTGTATCTGTTCATGTGTTTACTTATAGCCATTTGCCACGCATATTCCCTGATGTATGTTTGCTCACGACTTCTGGTACTGGGATAATGAATATGATGCTCTGTCCTGAAAAGCAAGATGAATCTGAAGATGAAATGCAGCTCTTTTCCTTGCACCTGCAGGTTGCATCTTCTATAAAAAAGTGACGAATACATCCTTTGCTTCCAGTGGCAGCCAATCCAACAAGTAATGCAGTGCAGAGTAACTTGTGCAAGATGTATATATATATTCGCATCATAGTTTGCTTCATCATCACTTGTGCAAACGGAATGAATCCAACAAGATTCAGCATCACCACATTAGATACAAATATACTCCATCTTTCTGCTAACTGCAAATCATCTGCACCTATTTCTCCTCTTTGTGGGATAGAGAACTGAATAAACAATTGAGATTTATCATCTCAATTTTCACAAAACAACGGTGCAAAAAAATAGTAGGTGTTGCACTGACACTTGCAGTCTGTAAATCTCATCTATCTTTACTTATAACAGCAAAAAAATATAGTTTGCTTCCAGTCACATCATCTTATAAACTAATTACCGCCAGCCAACAAAAGTTAAAACTTACTAGTACTTTTTCAGGAAGTTAATGAGCCATGATACCCGGTCCTCCTCGCTCATGGCCATATATGCGGAGCCCTGGGCAGTGTTGTCCATCAACTGAGACAGGGCAACTAATAAAGATTCCTCAGCAAAGCCAGGCATGTTCATCACAGCACTATACAGCACATCTGGATCCACCTCATCCATCACAATAGTACCATGAATGGGAGCTGCTCGAATGATCTTTGGAGTGTCCTCTTCCTGTGTCATTAATGATCTTGGGACGATCTGAACAACAGAACAGTATAATCAGACAACAGAGCAGGTATAGCATAATTAAAACCATAATCCCGTTCTTCTTAGATGCATAATTAGTACAGTCGTCATGTATTTTAATCTGAATAATCTAGACATATGAGGCATCAAATAGAAAAAAAATACAAGCACCTAATTCGACACTTGTCATGATTATGCAAAGAAAGAGTAGGTACTTGGCGGGCACACATACCCCTCTGATGTGAACAAGCTTCATCTTGTTCTCCTCTGATTCACACCATTTCACTAGTGTAGGGCAGTCACGGATGACTAGATTTTCAAGCTTGGTCAGTTGTTGTATGCTGTTCGGCAAAGACCTGATCCCCTCACAGCCCATGATATGCAATTCCTTGAGAAAGGTAAGTTTTCCTAACCACTGAGGTAGTGATGTCATGCCTCTGCACTCAGACAGCCTTAGGTCCTGAAGAGATGTCAGTTCAGCTAACCATCTCGGCAATTCCGCCTGGTCGAAGGACAATGATACCAGGGAGGATAGCTGTTGGATGATCTTAGGTGAGGTGGTCAGATCACTGCAACCGGTGATAGTTAAACTACGGAGGGCAGGGAGTTGGTGAAGTAACCTCCACTGATGCAAGGGCACCTTGCTGTTTTTGACAAACAATTTTGTTATTGGAGAAGAGGAAGCACCACGGTGTGACGAGCTCTCTTCCCATGATGATAGCACATTATCAGAATCTATTATCCGCAAAACCGTAGCTCTTGGTGCACATGGTTTTATCATCAACTTGGCACATTGATCTATGGTCAACGCGTCAAGCACAGGCTTGCCCCTGGTATATGCCGTGTTCCACTCTTCCAAACTCTCCATGCGGCAGAAACCCAGCTCTCGTAGGTATGATAGCTGACCAAGTGATGGTAGGTTATTGCAATTAGGAAAATCAGAAAGATATAACTGAGAAAGATTAGGGAGATACTGCCTGATACACATAAGCCAATCAGGAATGCTGAAACTGCTATAACCACTTATATACAATCTCTGCACACTGCTTGGTGGCAGTAGTTTTTCCAATACCTCCTTGTCATCCACAAACCTCTCAGCACCTAGGGTCCATTGAAATGTTAGCTCTTCAACTCTGTGCAGTGTCTCCTTGGTGCCACTAGTTTGATTGTAGATCAGCATTAAACCCTGTTCCTGTTGTGTAGCTGAAGTCCATTGAAATGTTAGCTCTTTAATACTCTGTGCCTCTTCTGCAGACTTCACCTTTTCAAGTCTATATATCGTCAGCACTTCAAGATATAAGATGTTGATGCTACATTTATCACTTGAAGCATGCACCACAAAGTCTGCAGGAATCTTCAATCTGAAGCAGCCTAAGAGGTCCAGTGTATGAAGCTTCATGAGGTTGCCAACACTTTCTGGTATACTGAAATACACTTGATTCTTAGACAAGTCTAGATGCTCTAGATTAGAAATTGTACAGATAGAGTCAAGCAATCTAGCAATTTCTTTTTCTGATTCCGGCACCATGGCTTTCATGCACCCCGATAGATTTAAATACCTGAGTTTGATTAGATTGCTAATGACCTTTGGCAGGCTTCCTATAATTTCCATGTTACCTGATAAATTCAGATACTGAAGTTTGGTACAGCCACCCAAAGCTTCTGCATCAGACACACTGCAGCGTGATAAATCCAGATGAACCAGCTGCTTGAGCTCTGCGAATGATATTGGGAGTTCACGTATTTCAACACAGCCTGATAAATCAAGATGCATCATAGCTTTCATATCACCAATTGACTCTGGCAATGCTGTGATTTTATCAGAGCCTCTAAGGTTCAGGTAATTTAACTGTGAGAGTTCAGTGATACAATTGGGAATTGTTTCATATCGGATTCGTGGAGCACGAAGAAATCTCAACTGCCTTAGTTGACCAATACAATCAGGTAACTTCTTAATAAAGCATTCATTTAAATCCAAGACACGGAGGCACCTAGTTGACGAAAATGCACAATCACGAAGTTCTTGTTCGTCACAGTCCCTAAAGTGCAAAGCCCATAGATTTGCAGGAAAAGACAACTGCAATGACTTGCTACAATCTGTGAGCAATGCATAGCGGCATTTGTTTCCCTCAGTGTTAAGTTGATGGGCCAAAATCTCTCTTGCGAGATCATGCACTAGGTCATGCATTGTCAAGTATGTAACATATTTGTTTCGTTTTGTATCAATCTGTAGGAAAAAAATGCTGTTGGAATTTTGAATTTATTTCATTTTGTAGTAGTATATTTCTCAATGGAAATGCTGCCATATAACCGTAAAAAAAAGTGTACATAAATAGAGTAGTATATCAATGGAAGTACTTCCATGTGGGTACGATATTTTCATGGCCATTAATTTGGAACAATATTTTGTCGTTGTCAGTATAATATCAACTAAATCTGGTATGACCGAATAGGTTATTGAAAGACATGCAAATCGAGCGCCTGTGTTAAATTAAGCGTCATGAGTGCCCTCTCACTAACGGTGGCGACCACCATGGGCGCAGGCATGCATGCAGACCCCCTTCCACTTCCTACGTAAATTTGAGAAAGGTAATCATCCTAAACATTGAGTGATTGATTTATTTTAGCTACGTTGAGTGGTTGATTGGCTAAATTAATCGGAAAAGAATTGTATAGCTAATTTAGCAACTGTTGCCCAGAGCCCAGTACACATACCCACTGGCAGCCCGTAGTCCAGATCTAATTGGATTCAACTCTGTCTCTCTATCCTTCGGCGCCTACATTATCTAAGGGAGTTTCAGAGTGCAAATATATATTTGACACACACACACATATTTAAAAAAATCACAATTGTGTGTTGTATTAGGGTATGAGCACTAGTACAAATATTTCTAAACTATTCATATCTGTTATCCGTAACCGACAAAAAATTGCCAAAATGGAGAAACAATTTGTGCAACAAATTTAACTTTTTTGTACAATTCATGAACGTATATTCATTCACATTTTTTTTGTTAGTGAGCATAACATCGTATATTTGTGTACAACATACACATTTCTTAATTTTCCAATAAAATGTGCAAAAAGAATTGCAACAAGAGCATGTGCACTATAATGCTTCTGCTCCAGGAGTCATCATGAAAATATACAACATGTGAGCTGCAATATCTAAGGTTGAAAATAAGAGTAAAATATGTAGTAACTCACCCAAGGTGTATTTGTATATTGAAGGAAGGACATCCCCAAAAGTTGAGTGACATAATTCTCACAGAGCTGCATAGAATCAAATATCCTAGTCTGCTTGATGAATCCAAGAGCAATCCATTGGTGAACGAGATCATACTTGGCTATTATTTGACCTTTTCGAAAGATTGCACAATAGGAAAAACACAACTTCAACCAAGCAGACATGTGGCTATAGCTTAGCTGCAAAGACGCAAGAACTTCATGGCCCTCAGAAGTAGATAGATTCCAAATATGACTGTCTCTCACTGACTCCCATTCATCTGACCTCATGCCGTTCAACATGTATCCAAGTGATTGAGCCGCTAAGGCCACTCCTCCACACTTGATCGCAATCTCCCTTCCTATATGCTCCAATTGTTCTTGGTCGACTCGGTCTTCAAGGTCAGCCTTTTGTTTTATTATAGTCCAGCACTCATCAACCGTCAAAGTCTCCAGCTTGTATGGCTTAACTGCAGGACTACAAAATTTCCTTGCAAGGCCTCCATCACGTGTAGTTGCTATAATCACCTTGCTTCCTAGGCCAAGCCCTAGCATAACCTTCAGTTTATCTAACTCTTTTGGGTTCTCCTCCCATAGGTCATCTAGAACAATAAGGATGCTCTTACCATCAAATAGCTCTTTAAGGCGTTTATGAAGCATCTGTTTGGTAGGTATATTGCTGATCTTGTTTGTTAACTGTGTTATTATGGAGTTGCCAATCTTGTTCAAGTTGAATTCCTGGGAAACATATACCCAAACCCGAGTGTAGTCTTGGAACTTTGGGTCATTGAATACCAATTGTGCCAAGGTTGTCTTGCCAACGCCTCCAATGCCATATATTGGAAGGATGACCAATTCTTCTGTGATGCTCTCCGATAAAATAGACAATATTTTCTGTTTTTCCTCAGTCCTTCCGATGATTACTTCTTCAACATCTGATGATGTTTCCCTGTCAGCAAGTTGCTGCACAGTACGGTTAGAGTTATCTGTTGGCATCAAATTGCAATCTCCGTGTTCATTATTGTTCAGTTCAGCTACCATCATCTCCAACATATTAGACTCGCTCTTGAGACCAATTGTTGGACACGGGAGCACATCTGATATCTGCAACCAGTTTTTATGTGTAAGTACATGGAGAAGACCAATAGAATTATCATGCTCATGATCTCATAGTCCAGTAAATTCTCTGGGATGATTATGCTACATGTGTGTAAGCTAACTTATTGACTGATCTTTCAGTTAGATTGCTCTTCACAAAACGTGCAACCGGCTGAGGAAAAGGATGTAATACCAGATGTTGGAATAAAAGTTCAACATATATACTCGAATGGCAAAATCCAACACATCGAAACAACAAACATGTGAACACATGAGCGGCGTCAACACCACCTTCACTAAGACGACACCATTACACCAACATGGCCATAGTCCTGAAAGTGGGTGACGCGATGACATGTTTGAAGCGGAAACAAGGTGTGCGCCATGATTCTAACACTAGGTTAATGCTTACGGAGCATCACCATGTGGCAAGTGCTCTCCACCACCACCTCTTCCCCTCAGGCGGCGCCCCGAAGACACTCATATCTTCAACTAGCTCGTTTCTCCTCCACCACTCTACTCCACCAGCCACTGAGCAACACCTCTCTGCCTCTCCTCTCTCCCACCACCGTCTCCGGAAGCCACTGCTGCAGCCTCCAGCAGTGTCCAGTGAGGGCGCCGCTATTGGTTTTCTCCCTTGGATCGGGAAAACAAAATGACTGGGAAATGAGGAGCTGCAAAATCTACAACTGCTAACTAGTCCATGTACACAAACAACTTTCTTCTGCCAATCGTAAATTAAATGCTCTCTTGCTTTCATTTTGTTTGCATTAAGTATGCAGATCATACCTGTCTCTTGGGAATATGAGTTTCTGTCTTGCTTAGAATATCCAAGACTTCTGCTATATTAGGTCGACTGTTTCTGTCAGGTTCCATACAACGCATTGCTGTGTCGATGCATATCTGCACTTGATGTGATTCCTCTAATGGGTACTCCGAAGTAGCCTTTATCCTATTCGTCCAATTGCCAAGCACCTATGAAACAGGAATAGAGAGATAATTTGAAATGAAAAATATGAAAGTACGATATACGATACTTGTTCAAAAGTATTCTTGACACACAAATTTCATGGTCAATATATTGTATGCAGGAGAGAAGTTTTTCTAAGTCAAAAGGTGTGGCATGTGCTCTGATATATACATCATATTCTTGTTCAAAGGTGTCCGGTGCCACTTCCCAGATAACTAACCTAGATAGATAATATAAGATGTCTAATTAGGAGAGCAAAGTAAAAAAAAACATGTACTTGCTCAAAAACTGCAGATGGAAAAGCTCTGTAATCAAAAGGAACTTGAAATAAAAGAGACGTACTATATGTATATGTGCTTATCACCTCTCTCATGAAGCAAGATTCTACGTGCACATTTCATTCCATTTTTAGAATCTCCACATATGCATTTTTGGCACTTCACGAGTAGTATACAAAATTAATTATACTCTAGATTTTTCTACTGGCAAGCAGATTAATTACATGAATAATTTGACTACTGGTTGTTTATGTTGACCACTAACAGTGACATGTAGGTTCCTTACACATATAGTGGATATCCAATGCTGGTAGTTATTGGACCGGTGGAGTTCACATTTTTTTTCTTTCCGGAAATACAAAAGGAAACAAGCGTGTATATTACGTTAAAAAAATTTATAGCTCAACTAAGTTATCGACTCCTTACTTGGAAGACAATAATGCATAAAGTATCGACATCAGACATATCCATAATGTGATGCTTTGTCATATGAACTCTAGTGTCAAACTGAAAATGTTTTTCCTTACCTTTTGCGTAAATTGCGCGACTTCGTCTGTTTCTATATAACCGGAGTAACCCGGAGACCCTTTCATTATCTCTACCATCACAAGACCTAAACTGAAGACATCATTCTTATGTGAAATATAGCCGTCTTTTATGAATTCTGGTGGCATATATGCCCTGCATGATCAAAGGACACGGTCAGCATAAATATTGTTTATTTGATCACAAGAGGGAGAAGACTGAAAATGAGGAATTCCATGAGGCACTTACTGGGTTCCTCTGATTTGTTTTGTGACTTGAGTGTGTGATCCACCGAAGAGCCTTGACAAACCAAAATCCGCCAGTTTAGGCGCCATGGAACTGTCTAGTAATATATTGGCAGGCTTTAGATCAAGATGAAAGATTGGTGGTTCACACCTGTGAAGGAAATCTAATCCTTCACAAATGCCCTTTATAATCATGTAACGTGTGCTCCAGTCAGGTGCAAGAGATTTTTCTACACAAGTTGACAAGGAGAACATTATACACAAGAGAATTTAAGAATTTGGTTCTGCTTAAACACAAAGGAACATGAACGTATTGAAGTTAAGTTCCATCATACCACGAAGACGAACGTCTAGGCTTCCACCCTGCAAGTACTCGAAGCAGAGGACTCTATATATGTGTTTACTAAAACCTTGCTTACCCTTGTGTTCAACCAATTCAGAAGTTGTTTCATAACTGTAACCAAGCAACTGTATAATATTTGGATGCTTAACCCTCAAAAGGTTACCAACTTCATTGAGATATTGTAGGTCATCAATTCCATGTACCGTATCAACATGAAGCAACTTCACAGCAACCTCTCTCCCATTGTAAACCCCCTGTGCTTGGCATAAGCATCGTACACAGTTATTTGTTTGTAAGTTTGTCGTTTGTTGTTAGTGCTGGTACAATTTGAAACACAAAATGTCAAGTAATAAGCCGTACCTTGTAAACATCTCCATATCCACCCTGTCCTATTCTTGCGTCCACTGAGAATCCATTTGTAATCTCACGCAAGTCATGTAACGGTATACGCTTTTCTGCAGTCATGACATATCAGCTGGCTTGGACCTTCTGCCCATACACAAAAGGGAAGTGTGAAAACTATATTTCTGTTATCATTAAATGGAAGAAAACAAATGTTCTAATGATGACAAAGAAAATATAATCGTTGTGAGAAGAAATAGTTTAACATTCCGTGGTCCTTGCATTATCTGACCCTCGGTGCCATATGTGATATCAAGAATCGGGTAACCAACCTGAAACCTCAAGCAGGAAGCAGCGCCCTCCAACCCCTCTGACACCGGCTCCCCCCCTCTCCTCTCCTCTCTGCCTAGCCTCCGATGTCGACGACAAGCTAGGTGAGTCTCCCAACCCTGCACAACCAGAGCTGGATAGCAGTAGATCTAGTAGGCTTCCTCCTGCTAATGACCTCTTGTATATGGATCTGAACTCCCTGAGCTAGCCTGTGCAATGCGAAATCGAGCTCTTATCTACTCTTACATTAACGGGATTGCCATAGAAATTTTCTTCTAAAGAAGAAAATTGAAACAAAACGATTTATCGCCTCACACATCATGTCTCCTTAGAAAAATGCCATAAGTCGAAACGGCATGAAACCCAAAGAAGGCAGCGGCAAATCTGGTGTCACCAGTTGTGCAGATCTACTAGTATCTATTTTCTATGGATTTCCAGATGCTAGTGGAGATTTGGATGTGCCTACAGTGGCGCCACAATACAAATGTAGGGGGGATAGATCGCTAACCTGCTGCGTGAGTGGGGATCGCGGAGCTGTATGCAGCAGCAGATTCAGCGGCCAAATCCCCTCCAACTTCCAAGTGTATGCGGGGTAGGCGCCCCCGCCGCAGCCTTCAGACGCGGCTTGCCTTTATCTCCTTTTCCCTCGCCCGGCGCCGCCTCCACCACCAGTCCTCTATGCCGCACTATGGGCAGGAACAGGAATGTGCCATGCGCGGTCTCTCTACGCTTTTACGGTCAGACGAGACGGCTAGCTCTTTTTTTTTCTTTTTTCCTTTTGATTTTGACGGGGACGAGAGAGAGACGAGTCGTTTCTTGGTTTCACTTTCACATGGGGGCAGGGCAGCAGGCGTCTCATCACGTCCCCTCCTTGTCTCACAAAGCAGTTTCGTACGCCCCCCATATATCTCTCAAATTGAATTTTCAGATAAAGGCTTCTCAGCTTTGCTTTTATGTTCTACGCGTTTTCTTTTCTTTTTTGCCGGTTCTACGCGTTGATTTGATTGCCTCTCTTACATTTCTTATTTCTTAAAAGCATCTTAGCGATGTATACAATCATTTTATTTATTATTATTCACAAAGACCTTATAAGAAAATACATCAATATGTTTGAAGCTGTTATCTTAGCAACATCTGTCATCGTTACTCCTATCCACTTGATGAATGGATGCAGATAGTCCGAGCCGAATACCCAAATCTCTCACCTAGGTAACGCCGCCATCATTCACCATGACCAGGGTCGAGGTTCAGTTTTCACTGGTAGTCTTGCCGCTCGAAACTCGCCACTGGACAGATCTGAAGGCAGGTCCGCCGCAGCCACCTAGCCGGCCACCACCAACACGGCAGCGCGGGACAGAGCGACCATCGCTAAGGCACCGCCAGACGGGCAGAGCCACAACCTGGATGCCCGACCCATGACAGGATCTCCAGATCCAAGCCTCCGAGTAGGGGACTGCCTAGGCCACACCGCCGCCACGCGTCGAGCGCCCGCAACCCTAGGTCATCCAGATCACCGTGCTTTGCCCATCCCACGGTTGTCGCCGCCTTTGTCCGCAGATCCTCTATCGCACGCGGAGCGCCCACACACGCCCGCGCCACCACGGGAGGGAATCGGTGCCCCGCCGCCACCTTCCTCATGGCAGCCCGGCCTTTGCTAGGTAGTCCCCTCCGGCGGTGATGAGACTAGGAGGAAGGGGGAGGAGTTGTTGCGGCTAGGTTTTTTTTACATATGCGCAAGACATCTTGTGACCAATAAGGGCAAACCTAAACGGACATGGAATTTGTCCTTTTCTTTGTTCATTTAGGTCAGTCAGGCTTAAACCAATGTATGGTTTTGTCAGTCAGACACGTAAGCCAAGCCCCAACCGTTTCTCGGCAAACACCAACACCGCTGCAGGAACGTCCGAAGTTGGCCTTACTTGTTGTTGACATGTGTTGCCTATACGTCGGGTGCTCTGCAGCGACACTCGGCCTTATCCTGAAAAGGGCTGCCATTTTGTTTGCCCCCCCCCCAAAGATTGTGGCCATTAGGCCGAGTGTCGCACCCGGCATACAGCTGTACGCCAAGTGTGGCATAATACGTCTCCAACGTATCTATAATTTTTGATTGTTCCATGCTATTATATTACCCCTTTTGGATGTTTATGGGCTTTATTTTACACAATTATATCATTTTTGGGACTAACCTACTAACCGGAGGCCCAGCCCATATTGCTGTTTTTTTTCCTATTTCAGTATTTCGAACAAAAGGAATATCAAACGGAGTCCAAACGGAATGAAACCTCCGGGAGCGTTATTTTTGGAACAAATCTGATCCGGAGAGCCTGGAGTGCAAGCCAATAAAGCTCCGAGGGCCCCACGAGATAGGAGGGCGCCCCCCTGTAGGGCGCGCCCCTGTCTTGTGGGCCCCTCAGGCGGCCATCGACGTACTTCTTCCTCCTATATATACCCACGTACCCCGAAAACATCCAAGAGCATCACGAAACGCAATTTCCACCGCCGTAACCTTCTATATCTGTGAGATCCCATCTTGGAGCCCTTGCCGGCACTCTGCCAGAGGGGGAAGCAACCATGGAGGGCCTGTACATCAACATCCTTGCCCCTCCGATGAGTTGTGAGTAGTTTACCACAGACCTACGGGTCCATAATTATTAGCTAGATGGCTTCTTCTCTCTTTTTGGATCTCAATAGAATGTTCTCCCCCTCTCTTGTGGAGATCTATTCGATGTAATCTCTTTTTGCGGTGTGTTTGTCGAGATCTGATGAATTGTGGGTTTATGATCAAGTTTATCTATGAATAATATTTGAATCTTCTCTGAATTCTTTTATGTATGATTGAGTTATCTTTGCAAGTCTCTTCGAATTATCAGTTTGGTTTGGCCTACTAGATTGATCTTTCTTACCATGGGAGAAGTGCTTAGCTTTGGGTTCAATCTTGCGGTGTTCTTACCCAGTGACAGAAAGGGTTGCAAGACACGTATTGTATTGTTGCCATCGAGGATAACAAGATGGGGTTTATATCATATTGCATGTGTTTATCCCTCTACATCATGTCTTCTTGCTTAATGTGTTACTCTGTTCTTATGAACTTAATACTCTAGATGCATGCTGGATAGCGGTCGATGTGTGGAGTAATAGTAGTAGATGCAGGCAGGAGTCGGTCTACTTGTTATGGACGTGATGCCTATATACATGATCATACCTAGATAATCTCATAACTATGCGCTTTTCTATCAATTGCTCGACAGTAATTTGATCACCCACCGTAATACTTATGCTATCTTGAGAGAAACCTCTAGTGAAATCTATGGCCCCCGGGCCTATCTCTTATCATATTTGCTTTCCATCTACTTTATTTGCATCTTTACTTTTTGCATCTATATCAAAAAATACCAAAAATATATTTATCTTATCATACTATCTTTATTAGATCTCACTTTCGCAAGTGGCCATGAAGGGATTGACAACCCCTTTATTGCGTTGGTTGCGAGTTCTCACTTTGTTTGTGTAGGTGCGTGGGACTTTTGAGGAGCCTCCTACTGGATTGATACCTTGGTTCTCAAAACTAAGGGAAATACTTACGCTACACTTTGCTGCATCACCCTCTCCTCTTCGAAGAAAACCAACGCAAGCTCAAGACGTAGCAAGAAGGATTTCTGGCGCCGTTGCCGGGGAGGTCTTTGCTCAAGTCAAGACATAACAAGTGCCCATCACAAACCCATCTCCCTCGCATTTACATTATTTGTCATTTGCCTCTCGTTTTCCTCTCCCCCACTTCATCCTTGCCGTTTTATTTGCCCTCTCTTTCCCAATCTCCTCCTCTCTTTTTCGCTTGCCGTTTTTCTGTTTGCTTGTGTGTTGGATTACTTGTTGCCATGGCGCAAGATAATACCAAGTTGTGTGACTTCTCGAATACCAATAATAATGATTTCCTTAGTACTCCGATTGCTCCTCTTAATGATGTTGAGTCTTGTGAAATCAATACCGCTTTGCTGAATCTTGTTATGAAAGATCAATTTGCCGGCCTTCCTAGTGAAGATGTCGCTACTCATCTAAACAATTTTGCTGATTTGTGTGATATGCAAAAGAAGAAAGATACAGATAACAATATTGTCAAATTGAAGTTATTTCCGTTTTCACTTAGAGATCGTGCTAAAGTTTGGTTTTCGTCTTTGCCTAAAAATAGTATTGATTCTTGGAACAAGTGCAAAGATGCTTTTATCTCTAAGTATTTTCCTCCCACTAAGATCATCACTCTTAGGAACGATATTATGAATTTTAAACAACTTGCTCATGAGCATGTTGCCCAATCTTGGGAAAGAATGAAATTGATGCTTCGCAATTGCCCTACTCATGGTTTGAATTTATGGATGATCATACCAAATTTTTATGCCGGTTTGAACTTTGCTTCTAGAAATCTCTTAGATTCGGCCGCGGGAGGCACCTTTATGGAAATCACCTTAGGAGATGCTACAAAATTGCTTGATAATATTATGGCTAATTATTCTCGATGGCACACCGAAAGATCTTCTAGTAAAAAAGTGCATGCTATAGAAGAAATTAATGTTTTGAGTGGAAAGATGGATGAACTTATGAAGATGTTTACTACTAAAAATACTCCTCTTGATCCCAATGATATGTCTTTGTCTTCCTTGATTGAGAATAATAATGAATCTATGGATGTGAATTTTGTTGGTAGCAATAGTTTTGGAAACAACGCTTATAGAGGAAATTTCAATGCTACACCGTTCCCTAGCAATCCCTCTAATAATTATGGAAATTCCTACAATAAT